CCCCACACGCCACGGGGCTTGGAGGGCTTAGCTGGGCAGCCTCGGACCCGGCAGCGGCGGCGGAGCCTGGCGCCGAGTGGGGGGCCTTCCTAGGGCCCTGGAACGCCTCTGGGTGCCGGGGGGCGTCTATGGTGCGTCCCCGAGAGAACTAGGGGCGTCCATAGGCCCCGGACCGAATGTAGGCCCTGCTCTCCATCATATACTGGCCTGAGTCGTGTGTGTAGGCGCTGTAGATCGTCTTTATGGGTTGACCGAAGGCAAGGGTCTGTTCAGAGGGTTCTGGGGCCATCTTGAGATCTTGAGATATGTCCCAGGGGTGAAGGAGGTCTGCACGAGCTGAGGGGCGTCTGCAGAGCCATGTAAAGCACCTAGGGTATGTCTCTTAGAGCCGGGAAGTATCTCCATGGGCCGGTCTGAGGATGCAGCTGATCTACATAGGTCCGGGGCCATTTATCCGGTCTGGAAGAAGTGTTCAAAAGCCAGGAAGTCTTTTAGGGCCACCTTGAGGAGTGGGATGTGCTCACCAAGAGAGGGAAGCAAACATGGAGATGTGCTGAGAGGCTTAGGTGGGACTCCAAAGTCTGGGGAGTGTCTAATCTGGGTGACAGGAGGCTGGGAGAGTTAGAAGGACCTGGAAACCTCGAGGTGGCTTTGATGTGACTGACTGCAAGAATGCAGAATCTATGCCTGGAGCAAATTTTGGAAGCATTTTGGGGTCAGATGAAAGTGTGATGAATAATACAAAAAAGAATGTTGAAAATTTCACCCAGCTCAAATGTACTTGCCCTTCAGTAAGTTGATTGAAAAATGTTTAAAAATTTTGCATTACCCCGGGGCTATAGAGAGAGAGTGAGAATTAATCCACATTAGTCTGGGAGGGCCTGTAGAGTCATCTAGACTCATCTAGTACAATGCTTTTCCAACTTTTGACCTTGATCTGCAGTAGGAAATACATTTTCATTGAGACCTAGCGCTTCGCAACAGACGATTTTAACTGATATCCAAGTCCCATGAATTGATATATCCACTTACTAATGATGCACCGTGAAGCATTTCTATTGTATTCTACTTATTTTTTGTAACAAACTATTCATGAAGCATTGACCTGCTTTCAGACCCTGTAGTTTGGGAGACCCTGACCTAGAGGGATGTGGCAATATCTGCAAGGCCTTCTGTCTGAAAGGTGGAAGGAGCTGAGGGTGTGTCTGCAAAGCCTGGGGCCTGTCTAAATGTGCCAGGCAGCATCTTCCTACACTGCAGAGGCTTAGGATCTGCGGGTCTAGAGTCAGGAGATGCTGATGAAGCTTCCGATGTGTGACAGTCACTGTTCTAGGTAATGTGTGTTTCTCCCGAGGTGCTGGAGAGCAGCTCCCAGACTGGGATCTGTCCACAGGGGCTGAAGGTATTGAGTGCTGGGAGAACGCTGGAATGGATTAGAGTGTCGGGGCAGGGTGTGTCTGGGAGTCAGGAAAGAGGTTGCAGGCTGTGGGGGAGCTCGGAGGCCGATATGGGTTAGTGTTGGCATAGCTTGAACATGCGGGGGGACAGAGACCAGGGCCGCGGTCTTTTCTTTACAGGTGTGCAGCAGGAAAAGTGGGGCGAGAGGGAGAGGCAGATGCAGGAGAAACCTGGGCGGGAAGGGCGAGTGGTGCACTTGCTGTGACTCTGTCGAACTACGTGTGTGGGAGAGGCCGTCTCCTACGGTTCCCGCAGCCGTGGTTCGAGGTCTTTTGCCCAGTCATAGAGAAGCACACGAGTTGCGAGTTAGGGATTTTGAAGCTTTCTAGGAATTTTGAGATTGGGAATTGTTTACGGAGCAGATTTTGCAGTTGCAGGGCAGCTTACAGCTGAAATACTCCTATTTTCTGAAGCCCTAATCAAGACATCACCAGTCTGAAGGATGATTTAACTGCCTGACTGGGCAATCAAATCCAAGAGTTCCCATGACATCGCCGAGGTTTCGGTTTGCCTCCTCAGGCTGGGCAGGTTGGCACGAGGCAGATGCTGCCTCTGGGGGCTCAGGGGTCTGCCAGCCTTTCTGAAGTTGAGCCCTTTGGTTTTAGAAGTGCCCGGTGCTTTTGTAGATCCCTCTATTGTGGTTCCAGCTTATGTATATAAATACCATTTTTTTGGTTCCTCGCCATCAAGGGCAATAAGCCTTAGGGGGCTATATGGTATTTGAAGCATGACGTTGAATGCCACCCAGCACATTGGCACTTAACCTCAGAGAAAGGTGGGTGGGTGTCCTACCATAGGACACTTTTTTTTTTTTTTTTTTTAATGACAAAGGGAGAGAAAAAGCATAGGAGGGGGAAGAGGAGAGCAGACAGGAAGGAGAGAGAGACAGGTATTTTTGAAAGATTTCATTGTGTCACCACCTTCTGTTCCGGCCGTCCTAGTTAGCTAGGATCATAGGTGTATACCGTGGTGCCTGACCTGTTGAGATAGGCCTGGGAACCGAACCTGGCCTCCCGTGTGGCCCCAGCCTCACACGGTGGCACCCTCCCACTTGTGACACCACACCTGTGCCAGAGCACACTCTGGAATCACAACACAACACAAAACTGTCTCAGCATTGGATTTGTATCCCATGAAGGTTGGGAAGGGGGTCTTGAAGTTTGGACAAGCTGTAAGGGAGCTCTGGGAATCGGGGAGCTCTCCCTTTAACACAGGAGACAGCTGATAGCCAGAAGAGGGAAGGAAATTGCCCTGCTCCCTGAGATGTCTGCACCAGCGTGGTCCAGCCCCCAGGTCAGGGAAGCCTGGCGGGGAGGTGAGGGGAGAGGCGTGGAAGTGGAGGTTGACGCTGACGGAGGCAACCTCGGAGGCCTTGAGCTGTCTGCATCCCCTTCTTTCACCCACCACTGTCCACCCTACTCCAGTCTCTCACCCCTTGACCACCAGGTGACCATGGAGGAAGAAGATGAGTCTCGAGGGAAGACAGAGGAGTCGGGTGAGGATCGAGGTGATGGCCCGTCCGACAGAGACCCCACGCTTTCTCCTTCAGCCTTCATCCTGGTGAGGTTGCTGGACAGCTGGTGCAGAGGGCCGGAAGGAGGGAACGGCTGGGAGTTGAGATTCCAGGGCCCTGCCTGTTGGGCCCTTGGGGGAGGGGGGGCTGGGGGTGCTGGGGTCCTGGACCCCTGGCTCCGAAGAGGTACTCGAGTCTGGTTGTAGGGTGGTCTGGAACGTTGTCCCCCAAGGAGCAGAGGTTGCAAACCACCTCTGTGAGTCCCCTGACTCTTGGTTCTTTTCAACCCCTCCGCTGACCCTTCTTTTCCCAGCGGGCCATTCAGCAGGCTGTGGGGAGCTCTCTGCAGGGGGATCTGCCGAATGACAAAGGTACGGCCTGGAGTGTTCTGCTTCCTCTTAGACCCCTACCTCTTCCTGCATCCTTCCTCTAGCGTCATATGAGCTTTTCTGAGGCCTCTGGGCCACAGGCTGGTGGAGGGGAGTCACAGCACTCAGGTAGCCTGAGGCAACGTGAGGGGGCAGGAGGCTGACCTGAGCTGGAGTGGAGGGAGCGGGGGGCCAGGGAGGCTGCCTCCGCGGGGTCACAGTGAGCCGGGTCTCTGCGGACGCAGTTGAGACAAGGACGTCTGCGAGGCTGCTAGGTCCACAGCATGCGATGTCGAGGGACTGCATTGTTGGAAGGGGGGATGGAGGAGGACATGAGCAGGGCTGGGCGGGAGGTGGAAACAGGAGAGCCTGTGGGGTCGGGTCATGCCAGGGCTTCGTGCCGAGGGTAGTAAGACAGATGGGTAAGAGCTGGAGCCTCTGCGGGCTTGGGCAGTCCTCTTCGGACCCCAGCTAGAAGGTGGTAGGTGGAGGCTGGAAGAGCAGCAGGAGCTTGGGTTCATCACCAAGAGCTAGATCAGGGGCCAGCAGGTGGCATGGTGGTTAAGGGGCTGGACTCCCTCCCACACAGCTGAACGTGGTTCGAGTCCTTGAACTGGCAGCTTGCTTTCTCACTTTATCTCTGTGGTGAGTGCTTATGCTCTATAGCAAATTTAAAAACAACGATAAAATAACTCTTCAAAAAAACAAAATAAGATCAGGCTCCTTTTCTCTCTCGCCTATGAGATCTCTGTGTCTAATTCCCTGTCCCCCTGTGTTAATATTTCTTTCCAGATGGCTCTCAGTGCCATGGCCTTCGATGGAGGCGCTGCCGGAGCCCACGGTCAGAGCCCCGTTCCCAGGAGTCAGGGGGTCCTGACACAGCTACTGTGAGTAAGAAGAAGGGGCTGGACTCCTGGGTCTGAGGGCGGAGGAGCTGGGACTGGACTCCGGGGTCTGGGGTCTTGATCAGGGGCATCATTGGAAGGCCTGGGGCCTATTCCCTAAGTCTGAGGACTGGGCCCTTTGGTGGTCAGGATAAGGGATTTCATTGGATCCCCAAGTTTTCTTGAGGGATATCTCAGATGTCTGGGTTCCTAAGAGTTTAAGGAGTGGGGTCGTAGGGCTTGTGGGTCTTCAGGTGAGCGGGGACAGTGTGGAGCCCCTCTTGGGCTATTCCAGGTGTTGGACATGGCTGCAGACAGCTTCCTGGCGGGGCTGGTGAGTGTCCTGGATCCCCCGGACACCTGGGTCCCCAGCCGCCTGGACCTACGGCCTGGCGAGTGAGTAGCTGGGCAGCTGGAGTGGGAGAGCCCCCTGGGGGAGAGCCAGGAGCATTTCAAGACTCACCTGCCTCTTCTGCTTTGCAGAGGCGAGGACATGCTGGAGCTGGTGGCCGAGGTCCGAATAGGGGACAGGGATCCCATCCCTCTGCCTGTGCCCAGCCTGCTGCCCCGTCTCAGGGCCTGGAGGACAGGCAAAACGGGTATGTGTGCCAGGGCAGGACTGGACAAGTGGCCTTGAAGTTGTGTAGGAGTCGGCTGTTTCAGTAGTGACCGTGGCAATGACCCTGTCATTTAGGCATCTTTAACTTCTTGTGTTAGACTGCAGGCTGGGCTGGGTGCACGAACAGCTGTGCGTAAATCAGAACACTGTGGTAGGGGCCAGCAGGAGCAGCTAGCACGTGTGGGATGCTGTGTCAGCGCTCTAAGCCTCAGTGTCACCACGCTGGGAATTCCTCTCCCCAGGAGCAGACTCGGCATCTCCGTCTTGCCGAGGCGTGAACAATCTAAAAGAGCGGAGTCACTTGCTCAGTCGTGCAGTCGGTGCCCACCGGTGGGCCATGGCCTTGAGCCTCGGTGTGTCTCAGTCTACAGCCCAGTTTTTGTTTCTGCAATGTGCACTGCCCAAGGGAGGGACTGCTTCCACCCCACAGGCGGTTGTGATGCCGTGACAGCTTAGACCAGCGGTTGTCAGGCGGGTCCGTGTCGGAATCAGCAGAGAACTTGCTCATAGGCAGGCCGCTGGCTGTGCTGTAGAGCTTCTCATTCAGGAGGTCAGGGTGGGGCCTGGGAATTTGCACTTTAACAGCACGTGCTGCTGCCCCCCAGCACCCTGATGAGAGCCCCGAGTTTAGCATGTGCATGTGTGTCTGGAGGAGAGCAGTGGAGAGGAGAGGGAGGGGCCGGAGGTTCTGTTGCTGTAGCTGCAAGCACCGGTTCTGTGGGGAGCCTGGTTTGCACACCCCTCTGCACCAGGTCTACCTCGTTTCTTTCTTTCTTTTGTTTTAGTTCGCTGTAAGATGTGTCTTCTTGCTAGAGAGAGACAGAAATAAAGTGTGAAATCACCCCCTGGCCATGCTGCAGTTCCCTCTCCTCCATTCTTTCGGGATTCTGAGTATGCACACATGCATTCCCGGCGAGTTTTCAAAGCCACTGAGTTCGGGACTTGAACCACATCGTTAGCCATGTGGGGTCCAGCCGCCTAACCACCGTGCCACCTGCCAGTCCCCCTTTTTGTGTTTTGTTTGTTTTAAAATTATTTATTATTATTTGAAAATTGACTATGTAGGGTATGCACACTTACCAGACAGAAAGAGCGAGAAAGTGAGATGATAAGATGCCGGGTCAGGGACTCAAACTGTGATCAGCCAAGTGGGAGTCTAGTACCTTAACAGCCACGCCACCTGTTGGCCCTGCTTTTTGTTTTCTTAATAGCTATGAATTGACTCATGCATTAGGCACAGGAGATGTGGTGCCTGGGACCTACAAAAGTTTGTTTTCTCTTTTTAAACTGGGCAGGCATACACGCACACACGCCCAGTGTGAGTTTAAGCCACCAGGTCCATGACTTGAACCATGGTCAACTACATGGGAGTCTAGCAGCATAGCCATTACACCAACTGCTGGTCCCAAAGATTTCTTTTTTTAAAGAATTATTTTATTTAACTTTATACATTTGTTTGATTTTTTAATTTGACCAGAGAGCGAGGGGCGGGGGGGGGGGGGAATGAGAAAAAAAGCAGCCAGGTCCGGGAATTGAACTGCAGTTGGCTATGTAGGAGTCCAGCATCCTTAACCACCATGCAACCTACCAGCCCCTCTCTTTTTAAAGTTTATTTGTTCGTTTATTGCGAGAGGGTGCATGTGCTCCCTAGAGAGAGAGAAAGCGCCCTCCCCCATGGAGCGTAGTCACACCACACTCCTTCCTCCACTTCTTTGTTCATTAGGATTTTGGGCGTGTGCACACACACACACACATGTTCCCAGCATGCTTTTCAAGCCACTGAAGACAGAATTTGAACCGTGGTCAACCACGTGTGATGTGGCTTTCTGTGCACAGTGCTTAAGCTCAGCTATGGGGCCAGCCCCATGAAGGTGTTGTCATCTGTGAGAAATGAGGAGCTATAGAGGATGAGCAAGTGAACAGGGCAGTGCTCAGTACAGTTGTTTACAGAAGCAGGTATGTGCTCTGCTGGGCACCTGGACGCCAAGAGTGGCAGATGAGTCTGGAAGTCAGCAGGTATTTCCAGAGGGACTCGGGTTAGGTTTCATTTTCTCATTCAAAGTGATGTTTTGTCTTTCCCTTAGAAAATATTGAGAACTTAGGAAAAAGAAAGGAAACTTACCCATAGTCATATTCTGTACAAAAATTATATAAAAGGGCTGACAGGTGGTGTGGTGGTTTAAAGAGCTAGACTCCCACATGGCTGACTATGGTTCAAATCCTGGACCTGGTGGCTTGCTTTCTCACTTTCCCTCTCTCACTCGTTCTCTCTGCCTGATCAAACTGTAAAATAATAATAACAAAAAATAGAGTTAAATAAAATAATTCTTTAAAAAAATTACATAAATAGAAAAGTGATCTCAGGCCAGCCCGGTAGCCTAGTGGTCAAAGTACCTGGATCCCACATGGCCAGCTGTTCAAATCCCGGCCCCAGCCGCTTGAGAAAACACTCCAGATGCACGTCCCAGATCCCAACAGGATGGAGACATGGAGGAGAAGGGGTTGTGGCATGTCCATGTCCACTGGGGGTGCTTTTTCCCTCTCTCTCTCCAGAGACATATGTGCCCTCTAGCAATTAATTTTACAAAAGAAGTGATCTCGCACCTCCACGCCACTCAGGCCTGCAGACCATCTCGTGCGCACGAAGGCGGTGGCAGTACTGAGGGAAGTGAGCCGCTCGTGCCCACCTCGTCCTCACCCGGGGCCAGGTGCAGTCTGGTTCTTTCTGTGCAGTGGCTCATTTAATCCTCCTCGTCCCTGTGAGGCGGATACATCGTCATCATCATCCCTGCTTCATTGTCCTCTGGAGGCCTCAGCAGCTGGCGTCCCGTACACGTGACTGGCTGTCTCTCCTCCTCAAATGTGAGCCCTGAAAGGCAGGGACTTTTGTGTTTGCTTACCACTTTCTATTCCTAGTGCCCTGAACAGAGCCTGGCACAAGTAAGTGATCAGTTAAATGTGCTGAATGAATGCACATCCCTGACTTATGAATGAGGGACCTGAGGCAGACAGGTTGAGCCATGGCCAGCATCTGATCAAGTGGCTCCGAAGCTGCTCCCAAGAGCCCTCTGCTTCCCTGGTGCTGTCCGGCAGCGCCGCCTCAGTCGAGGGGAACCCAGGTTTGCCTGGCAACCCCTCCCTAGCCTGTTTCTGCTGTCGAGAGCGTTGGGGTTTGGGGGCAGGGTGACTCTTGGACTGCAGGGTCAGGGCTGCATCCCAGACTACCGTGGGCTCAGGGTCACACAGACTGGACTCTCCAGACCCCATGCTGATCCCCGGATTTGTGTGTGCCGGGGGTCGGATCCTGCAGGTCTCTGCCTGTGGGATAGGGTTAGGAGTGCCCTAAGACTTGGCGCAAGTAACGCCCTTGGAGCAGCTTCTGAGTGTCAACCTGGGGCTGCTGGGGGCAGTGCTGGCCTGCCTGCTGGCCCTCCTTCCTCTGATCTGGGGTCTCTGCGTCTCCCCCATTCCTTTGCAGTTTCGCCACAGTCTCACTCTTCCCGACCCACATGTGCCCGCCACCTCCTCACCCTGGGCACAGGCGACGGGGGCCCTGCCCCACCCCCTGCCCCCTCCTCCGCATCCTCCTCACCTTCCCCTTCTCCCTCATCATCTTCCCCTTCCCCTCCCCCACC